AAAAAAGAAAAAAAAAAAAAAAAAAAAAAAAAAAAAAAAAAAAAAAAAAAAAGACATTTTCGATCATTATTTCAGGCATTATTATTAAATGATGACAATTTTTTTCATGAGTAATTTTATTTTTTAAATTAAAAAAGTTTCGCCCGATAAGGGACTTGAACCCTTGACCCTCAGATTAAAAGTCTGATGCTCTACCGACTGAGCTAACCGGGCTCACATGTCTTATTGTTAGAAGAACGTATCCTAAAACTGTTACAACTAGGCTGTATTTCAATTTGATTATATATTTTAAATTTCAACAGATCGTTAAATAGTTTTAAAAGTATGTAACATGAATCTCCTGATATTTCTGATAAATTGTGATGTCATGGACGAGTGGATCGTCCACCAATGCCAATCATGGCCAATCATTGGCCCAATGTCAATGGGATTGGCTAGGCTGCCTACTCAGCCTACTGGTACTCATTTCATAGTCATAGTGATTGAAATTAATAAATGATTTAATAAATAATAATACTAAGTTAAAGTGAACTAAGACTAGTAGGACTAAGACTTCTTACTTATACTTATAATGACGACATGGATAAATTAATTATAATATATTATATCTCCATACATAGGCCCCTATGCCTAAAAACTACAAATTGTCAAATTAAATAGTAAATAAAGTAAATTAAGAAAATATTATATTAAATTATAGATTATAAAATTTAATATTAATAATTAATAATTATCAGTTCAGTATCACTATTATTAGTATCAGGTTGTTGTTTTTTTTGTTTTTTTTTAACTTTTGTTGTTGATTTTGTTTAAATAAAACATAAATGACACAAAACTTATTAGATACTTGAACAAAAATTATAACTAGATCTATATTTGTACTTAATGGTCCAATGGTAAAGTTATGCCCATTGATAATTAATAACCCAAATAAAATTCACCCCACGCCACAAACGTAATTTATTTCATTACGTTAAATCTAAATTTATTAAGCTTACTTAATTTAATCCTATAATTTTTTAACCTTCGAAAACCATATTTAGACAAATCTGGCTATGCTCCTGAACGAGAAATGAAAACAAAAGCACGTTTATCAAAATAACATGACATAACTGACTTATTATTTATCATGCCTGTATTTGAAGTTTGTAATGAAGAGGACCCTGAGAAGACCATTAAAGCCAGTAAGTTAAAAGTTAAGTCTAGCCTAATTTAACTTTGATGTTTTTCCAGCTAAATATTGAAATTGTAAGAATAAGGTTGGAAACACTCGATAAAAATACGATAATAATAATGAGATACTGATAGTTTAGAATAAGTAGTAATTGTCTGTAGTCTCTAAGTAGTAGTAGTCATTAGTCTGTTGTTTCTTTGCTCACTTGCTCAGTAAAAAATATTTGTAAGATATTATTATGCACTCAAATAATAATAATAGTGATAGGCCTTATACTTATAATAAGTTATAACGTCATTGAGAGTAATTCTTATACTTTTATAATTACATTTATAGTCAGTAGGTAATTTTGCCTTAGCAAATTTAGTGTTAAGTCAAAAGTACTTCAAGTAGGCCTGCCATATGTCATAATTTGGGCATACTGTATTTATCGGCGTATAAAAATAACACACACTTTTTCTCCCTGAAAATAGGGGGCAAATGATGTGTGCGTGTTATACGCAGATATAATGTTAATAGTTAAGGCAGGACCCATAGTATATACCACATAGGGGCGCGAATGGTGCGTGTTATACACCGATAAATATGGTAATTAATAATTAAGTTAACTAATAGCAATATAACTATAACCATAGGCATAGGGCTTCAATATCAGGATTGTACTTCGACTTAAGTCTTTGACTTTAGTTTAGAGTAGATTAAATATTGGCAATAGGCCTATATCCTGTGTTACTGTGTTAAGTCCTCAGGCTGCAGACTACAAATTGACTACACAATTACATTTAATTCTAATATTTTAGTTCTTAACCTGAGCGTTAAACATTATGAAGCCACAATTTGTCATTAGACTTAGCAAACTTATTTTAACAAAACCATGTCAACAACCTAGATAAGCAACTTTGACAATAGAATGCAACCTGTTGTGAAAAGAGATATTTTATCAATTGTACCTGCCAAAAAAATGTGGGAGGCTAAGGACTTTAATAATGAAACTCTTATAGGGAAATAGGCCTATAAATGTGTTATAATTTCAGATAAATTTGAATTTAACAATTTTCATATTATATTATGTTTGTAATGTTGTTTTATTCCAGTTCGCTTTTCCAATGGAACCATTAAAGAAAAAGACAAAGTCCACTTGAGCCTCAAATGTTATACTCAGAAAAAGGAGACTATGCCAAAATCTAGATTAAAAGGAAAAGAACAACACATATTAGTAAAATATTACTTTTTTTTTCTTTCTTTTTTTACTAGTGCTGTAACTATATTTTAATTTGAACCAAATCTGATAGAATAATAAGGCTTATGTACAAATTATTATTCAAATAATATAATTATTAAGCCTGATTTTGTACATAACCTATATTTATTTTCTGACTAATTAACCCTCACAAATAATAATTCTCTAGGGATGTTTGTATGCTTGTAACGCTTTGTTCAAAAGGCACGCAAAATAAATTTACCAGGAGTTAGCATTAAATTAATTCTTATAAAGTTTGTTTCTTGAATGCACGTTTTGTCATGTATTTTAGCAGATGGGGAGTTCACAAATTGCCACCGCTATTGTTTGGCTGGCAGGTTACTTCTTGATATTTGATATTTCTTCCAGACAGCTCAGATAGATTCAATGACATATGTTGGCAAAAACTTTGGAGACACCAACAGGTTTCCAACTGACTTGTGCAAGTAAGAGTTTTTCCACAAAGAATCAATGCCATTCTCAAAGCAATCAATGCTTGTTTTTAAATGAATGTTAAGATTTTCTCGTTTAATTTGCTAGTTAATGTTACGTTTTCAAGCCCTTCACT